CAGCATTATTTCTGTCACCAAGGCCAAATTTTCCAACTACCAGTGATTCTTCTTTGTTTCCAACTCTTGCATCCCAGTCACCAGTGATAATTAACACAACTTGATTGCAAGTTCAGTCAATTTCAGACTGCAGAAATTGATAAAAATCTTCAATTTCCTCATCTTTGCCTTTGGTGGTTGGTGCATAAATTTTAATAATAGTCGTATTAATGGGTCTTCCTTGTAGGCATATGGATATTATCCTATCACTGACAGCATTGTACTTCAGGAGAGATCTTGAAACATCTATATATATGTTATATATTATTTATAAATATATATAATAATAATATCTGGTATTAATTATATTGTTCAATGATTTCCACTTTCTGTGGAATCACCTTTCTTTGGAATGGGTACAACTGACTCTTCCAGTCAGTTGGCCATGTAGCTGTCTTCCAAATCTCTTGGCATAGCCCAGAGAGTGCCTCCAGTGGGGCATCCATTTGTTGAAATATCTCAATGGGTATTCTGTCAATTCCTGGAGCCTTGTTTTTTGCCACTTCCTTCAGCACAGCTTTGACTTCTTCCTTCAATACCATTGGTTCTTGATCACATGCCACCTCCTGAAATGGATGAACTTTGACCAATTCTTTTTGGTAGAGTGACTCTGTGTATTCCTTCCATCTTCTTTTGATGCTTCCTGCCTCATTCAATATATATTGCCCACAGAATCTTTCAATATTGCAACTCAAGGCTTAAATTTTTTCCTTTAGTTCTTTCAGCTTGAGAAATGCCAAGAATGCTCTTCCCTTTTGGCTTTCCAACTCCATATCTTTGCACATTTCATTACATTAATTGACTGTGTCTTCTTGAGCTGGTCTTTGAAATCTTCTGTTCAGCTCTTTTATCTTGTCATTTCTTCCACTTGCTTTAGCTACTCTCTGCTCACGGGCAAGTTTTAGAGTCTCTTTTGACATCCATTTTAGTCTTTTCTTCCTTTCCTGTCTTTTTAATAACTTTTTGCTTTCTTCATGAATGATGTTCTTGATGTCATCCCACAATTCCTCTGGTTTTCAGTCATTGGTGTTCAATGCATCAAATCTATTCTTTAAATGATCTCTAAATTCAGGATGGATATATTCAAGGTTATATTGTGGCTCTTGTGGCCTTATTTTAATTGTCTTCAACTTCAACTTGAATGTGCATGTGAGCAGTTTATGGTCTGTTGCACAATCAGCTCCTGGCCTTGTTTTGGCTGAAGATATTGAGTTTTCCATTGCCTCTGTCCATAGATGTAGTCAGACTGATTCCTGTGTACTCCATCTGGTGAAGTCCACATGTACAGCTGCCATTTGTGTTGCTGAAAAAAGGTATTTGCAATGAAGAAGTTGTTGTTCTTGCAAAATTCTATCATGCGATCTTCAGTGTTATTTATATCACCAAGGACAAATTTTCCAACTGCTGATAATTCTTCTTTGTTTCCAACTTTTCCATTCCAATCACCAGTGATAATCAGCACATCTTGATTGCATGTTTGGTCAATTTCAGACTGCAGAGGTTGGTAAAAATTTTCAATTTCTTCATCTTTGGCTTTGGTGGTTGGTGTGTAAATTTGAATGGTAGTAGTACTAATTGGCCTTTGTTGTAGGCGTATGGATATTATCCTATCACTGAAAGCTTTGTATTTCAGGATAGATCTTGAAACATACTTTGTGATGATAGATGGCGTGCCCTTCCTCATATTGTTGTCTGATTCAAAATGGCCCAAACCAGTCCATTTCAGCTCACTAATGCCTAGGATATCAGTCTTTATGTGTTTCATTTCATTTTTGACCACTTCCAATTTTCCTAGTTTCATACTTTGTATGTTCCATGTTCCTATTATTAATGGATATTTGCAGCTGTTTCTTCTCATTTTGAGTTGTGCCACATCAGCAAATGGAGCTCCCAAAAGCTCTACTTTATCCATATCATTAAGGTTGGCTCTACTCTAATGAGGCAGCTCTGTGTATTCCTTCCATCTTCTTTTGATGCTTCCTCTGTGAAATGAGGATAATTAAAAATATGCTTCCAGTCGTATTTTTAGTGCCTTCCAACCTGATGGGCTCATCTTCCCCCACTGTATCAGTGTTTCAGGGCTATTCATAAAGTTTTCCAGTAATACATCAGACAGTGTTTCACTGTCATTCATAAGGTTTTCACTGGCCAATTCTTTGAGATGTGGATGGGCCCTTCTTTTTTCTGAGTCTGTCTTAGTCTGGAAGCTCCGCTGAAACCTGTCCACCATGGGCAACCCTGCTGACATTTGAAACACCAGTGGCACAGCCCCCAGCCTCACAGCAACATGCAAGCCACCACAGTATGACAAATGGACAAACAAGTTCATCTCTCTTAGTTTTTCCAAACTGCTCCACTCACTTCTTGGCCTTCCCCCTACCTGTTCCACTTCCTGCCTGGGGGCTCTCCCTTTACCTGTTCTGGCCATCAACCCTGGCTCCTGCTTCCTGCTTGGGGCAGGAATATTGGCCAATAATAAACACTGACCCCTTATAAAGCCCCCAATATGTGCCAGACACTGTTCTTGGCACCTTTTGTATATCTCTCACCTAATATTTTATCAGAACCCCTCTGATTTTTAATTATCCTCATTTCACAGAGGAAAAAACTGAGGAACACCAAGACAAGAGGCCCAAGTTTATCCAGTGAAAGATGATCTAGCCAAGACTTAAACCTAGGTCTTCCTGACCCAAAACTCATGCCTTTCCTGTTCACTACAGTTAGGATCTGACCTTACATGTGCCCCTTCTTCCCATTGCTCTCCCCTCTCCAAACAGACCAGTGAAGACTACCAGCTTGGAGTTATTTTGGTAATAAGTCTTTGTCTTCAGTGGTGGACAGGATAAGTGGCCTAGGACCAATGTATGTGTGTGCACACTACTGAATGTGTGTGCAAAAAGAGTGTAGGGGCAGCATCTGCTATTCTTTAACTCCACATTGCATGAGAAGGATCAAAGTCAACAGCTTACAGCTGATTTCTATGAAGTGGCAGTCAGATATACAGCCACCCTCCAACCGTCTACCAATTCTGACACTTAATTCCCCCCCCACACACACACACACAGAACATTCTACTTCTCTACTGTGTTTGATAATTCATTGCAAAGGCCACACAAAACTCACAGACAATACTCACAATTATGGGGTTTATTGGGGGAAGTAACAGGTTATAATTCAGGATCAGAAGCAACTCAGGATATGGTTCTTCAGTCAGAACAGCTTCTTCTCAGCCATGCAGGTATGTTTCTCTCTGACCTTTGCCTCTCAGCCCTGTGGCCCCTTGGCTTCTGCCCTGCTTGGGCAAGTGTTACAAAGTTCTTTTAGCTCTGCAAATAGGTTCCCAAAGAGGCACCCCACTTTGCCAGTAAGCCTCCTGTCTTCTGCCTTCAGCCTTCTTGCTCCATAGGCCAGGAAGGCCACTGCTCTGTTTCATTCCAGTCTCTCCTGCCAGTCTCTTCTGCTGCCTCTGCTGCTGTGGTTTCTCTGCCACTGTCTGTCACCATCTCTAGCCACCACTTATCACCCCGGCAAAGTGTTACAGCTCTCTCTCTTTGGTCAAGGAACTTCACTACAGGGATCTTGGGTCCAAAGGATGTACTGCACTCCTGACACTTCTTTCTTGATTGTAGTGAGATCCTCCTTTCCACCTTTGGGATGGCTCATTATAAGCCTAGTGGAATGACAAAACTGACCAACCCCCACATTAGGGTTCCATACATCTTATTTCAATGGTCCCACCTCCACAAGGATGTCATGTACCTTATTTACATTATTAACAAGCTGTCCAATCCCCTTGGTGGGCCACAAGCACCTCACATTTGCATAGTCCTACCCCATTAGCTCTGGTAGCATAGTGCCTAAGGCACTTGACTGCTAACCAGGAGGCTGGCAGTTCAAACCCACCAGCCACTCCTCGGAAGGAAGGTTGGGCAATCCTACTTCTGTAGTGATAACTGCCTCGGAAACCCAAGGAGGGGTCACTAGGAGTCGGAGCCGACTTGATGGCAAATAACAACAAAACAACAACAATACCCAATTAGCTGGTGGGAGTCACAAAGACATGGCTAGAAGAGCTATATTAAGTAATTCACTGCACAGCACATTGTGTGCACATTAATGACTGTGTGTGTGACTGAATCTGTGTGGTTCTATGAGTGTGTATATATCTGTGTGTATATCTCAAAGTCAATTTGTGTGTCTGAGTGATTGTGTAACTATAAGTGTGTGTGCATGTATGTATGTGTGTCAGTATATGAGTAGGTTTATGTCTATGTTTGTGACTGTGTGTGAATATGTGTATGAGTGACTGTATATGTATGAGTGTGTCTGTGTGTGTCTCTTTGTGACAGTGTATATTGTGTGTGTGCATTAAGGTGTGCAGGAGTGTGTGCATTAGTGTGTGTGTGTGCATGCAACAAGGATGGCTTGGTGTCTGTTTCATATATGTGTCCAGTTGAGAGCAGACTTGCATACTTATGTGAGGAGGAGGCATTGATCAGTTGTGGACGGGCCAGCTGGCTGCTGGGCAGAGCAGCCTGCACTGCTTAAAGTGGATGTCCTATAGACATTGTTTTCTTGCACACTTATTGAGCGTAGTTAACAGATGTTTCCACAGACAACCAAATATGGTAGGTCTTCAGGGCACAGCCTTCAAGGCAGATTCCCAGGTCACTTTGTTTGGTTCTGGGGCTTCTCTGCAGCCTTTGTTCAGTACCAAGTGGAAGACTCATAGGTACCTCACTGAGTACAATTAGCTCTTCACAGATTCGGTTACTGAGAAGCCATCCTGAGACCAAGCCAGGATCTGCTCACTCTCATGACCCCAGAGGGGCAGCTTCCATGCCTCCACTCTCTGAACTGTGAGCATCCCAGAGAATTGGACTTCTGTGCATTCACAGTGTATAGCTTCTTTTGGACCCACAGGGCAGGACCCAGGACAGCATCACAATACCCTGGAACTCAAGCGTGGCTGGAGCCCCCCTTGATCTGACTGGACCATGGAAAGTCCATCTGGAAACTCAGCTGGATTTTTCCATATCCTTCTAGCCCAAGGGAAGGGTTGCAATACTGCATGACCCTGGCCCCATTCCCACCTCCCACCATCAGCATCAAGGAAATGGACTATCATTCAAGACCCCAAATGGGGAGGTTAGTCTCAGCCCTGACTTTTAGAAAAGAACAAAGCAGGAGTTAGTTGAGGGGACTATGGTTCTGAGTAGGTGGGGGAGGGCAGAGGCCTCTGGATAGCTGAGCTGGTCCAGCAAAGACTTGGGGGAAGAAACACCTCCTCTTCGATGACAGCAGCATAGGTATGTCCACATCTGTCTCTGAGACTTAGGGATGGCCTGTCTCCTTCAAGGGCTAGATCAACGGCCTAGAGCCTCCTGGCTGGGAACTTTGAGCAGGCCAATATCCATTCAAGATGCCAAGAAAGGGTGTCAGAACAGAAACATCAATAAAAAATAGTCTTGGTGACAAGCACAGATGCTGGTGCTTAAAGGGACAGCCTTTAGCTTCCGGATTTAACTTTTATAACATCTCGTTCTTCTGGTTTTCCTCCTTCCAAACCATCTGCTCTTTCTCCTGTCCTTTGAGGATGGTGCTTCCTGGCCCTGGAGTTTCTCTACAGCTTTTCACCTTCTCCCCCTGCTTTTTTCTCTCTCTCTGAATTTCATCTAAACCCATGACTGTTGCTACCAACTTGCCAGTGTCTCTCAGAGGCCTCTCTGTGAACTCCAGATACAGAGAGCTGAGGGACTAGCTCATCTTGGGTACTTCAAACTCAGTAAGTTCAAAATCAACCAATGGTATCCTCCAGTACACCTCTACCTCCTCCTCCATCGCCTTGGGAGTCAGCTCTGATTCATTAGTTCCTTGTATGCAATCCTCCATTGGTTCCCTATTGCCCTACAGATAAAGTCCAAACTCTAGCTATACCTCCCAATCTGGCTTCTACAGACTTTTCTAGATTCTGCTCCCAGTATTCCCTTGCATTCAGTGCTCCTGATGGCAGGGTTTCTTGTCATAATGCCTGGTGATGCTCAAACCAAACGCAGAGACATTGAGTTGATTCTGACTCATAGTGACTCCATGTGACAAAGTACAACTGCTCCCTAGGGTTTTCTTTGCTGTAATCTTTACCAAACACATAGCCAGGCCTTTCTTCTGTTGTGTTGCTGAGTGGATTCCAACCACCAATCATTAGGTTAGCAAAAACAAAAAAACAAACTCACTGCCATCGAGTTGGATCCAACTCATAGTGACCCCTCTTTGGGTTTCCGAGACAGTGTCACTACATAAGTAGAATGCCCAACCTTCCTTCCAAGGACTGGCTGGTGGGTTTGAACTGCCAGCCTTCTGGTTAGCACTCAAATGCCTTAGGCACTCTGCCACCAGAACTCCCATTAGGTTAGCAGTAAGGTGTAAATCATATGTGCCCCTAGGGACCTGCTTAGGGGTATTACAGGTGGGTGAGGTTTAGACCAGAGTCCTAGGTGTTAATGCAGGATAAGTGTTATTAATTGGCATGGAATAGAGTCTGTCTCATGGCAACCCCATGTGTGTGGAGTAGAACTGCTTCATAGGGTTTTGTAAGCATATCACAAGGTCTGTCTTTGGAGGTCCCTTGTTGTTGTTGTTGTTGTATGTGCCGTCGAGTCAGACCTGACCCATAGTGACCCCTCCTTGGGTTTCCGAGGCAGTATCACTACAGAAGTAGTTTGCCCCATCTTCCTTCCGAGGAGTGGCTGGTGGGTTTGAACCGCCAGCCTTCTGGTTAGTAGTCAAGTGCCTTAGCCATATGCTACCAGAGCTCCCTTGGGTGGGTTCAAACCACCAACTTTTCAGTTTACCAGTCAAACGCTTAACCATTTGCGCCACCCAGGGACTCCTTTAGAGGACCAGGTCACAGCAAATTCCCTCCACAAAGGCCATCAGCTCTTGTGCTCCCCAAGACCTTCACCTTTGTGTTTCTTCTGTCTGGTGCCCCTTCCCTCAGCTCCTTCGTCTGGCTAACTGCATCTAGTAGATGCAGGGTAGAACTCACTGGCATCCCCTCTAGGGACTATGTCTGACCCTCAAGCTGAGTCAGTCATGCCCCTGGCCACCCCCATCCCCAACAGGAGTAGGGCACCTGTCTTGCTGGGCTGGCACTGGGGCTCCTTGGGGCCCTCCCATAGTGTAAGCTCCTTGAGGACAGGGTCTGGACCATAGAAGACCTCTGAGAGTGGTTGGATGGCCCAAAGTTGAGTTTTCAGAGATCCCTGCCCCCAACCTCATCAGCTGAGGCCCCTTCTTTGTTCTCCAGGTCCTCTCCAACCTGGGCCTGGGAGATGACATGGAGCTGGAGCTGCGGACACTTCAGCTGCCAGTGGATTACAGGGAGGTCAAGCAGAAGATCACCAGAATCTGGGAAGATCTTCAACCACAAGTAATGACAGCTGGGGAGGCAAAGGGGTAGATGGCCCAGGAAGTGGCGGAGCCCCAGGGCTGTGAAATCCAGCATCCTGATTGTAGGGTTTGATGGTTGAAGTGCACCTCGCCTCCATGTCCCACCAGTAAGGTGAAGTTTCAGCAGGTTTCCAAGGCTCCATGTCTGTTCCTAAAAGTTTAAGCAGAAATATGAAATAGGTCTTGGGAGAAAATTCTGAAGAGAGAGAAGGAGGAAAAGCAATGGAAGCAATATTCCCAGTCACGACTCAGAGAGTTTCCACTTCACAGGGTAGGCCATTCTAGGGCATGCCCATGTGGGACAGGTTGGCTGTGAGAATCTATGGCAGCCAACAGGAGAGGTCATACTGGGTGGGGCCATCTTCAGTGCACTTTTCTTCTGAACAGTTACTATACAAGCGATACAAACATCCCAAAACAAAAAACCAACAACCAAACAACAACAAACGATCAGATGATGACAGTAATAAAACATAACCGGGTCGTTAAGACAACGTCCCAAATATTTTGATAAAATATGCAACAGCTGTTTTTCAAAGAGAAAAAACAATCAGTTCAAATAAATTCTAACAGGATTTTATTAGGTTGTCACTAACTTCATTTATTAAAGTTTCATTAAAAAGATGAAAGATTCCAGTGAAATGCTAAGCTTTTCCTGTGGTAGTCGTAGATAAAACGCCCCCCCCGGGGGGGGGAGTGAATACATTACCATGTAAAAGGATTTTAAAATATTTAAATTTAGATGCAACGGGAATATCTAGTCAGCTAAAATAAAAGAAACGCGCTTTTTTCTGTTTCAGTCCAATTAGGGAAAATGTCAAGAGATCAGGGTTTCAGAGTCTACCTAGGGTATGAAATGTTTTGCACTTTGAGCTTCGCTCTCGTGCAACCTGGCCTTTCTGTGACATTTGATGACCAGAGCTGCCCTCAGTTTCCTTCATCTCCTGTACTGTCTGTGGCCTGTGTGTAAACAGCTCGCAGTGCACGTGGGGGTGGACTCCTCAGCCAAAGCGATCGTTCTGGAACAGTGCGGCAAGAACACAGGCTACCGGGATGTGGACGTCCGGGGTTTCCGGCCAGAGGGCGGTGTTTGCCTGTCTGGTGGCCCGAGAGTAATCATGTCTGAGGTCAGCATGAAAGCTGTCTGCAAGCGTGTCTCACTGAAGGGCGTCGAGGTGCTCTTTTCCCGAGATGCGGGCAGGTAAACTCTGTGGGTGTCGGAGGGAAAAGGAATATCCTCCAGGGTCCTCTGACCAAGGCCCCTCCCCCATGTTCCTCTTCCCTATCCCTGGAAGAGAGCCATCCCTCTCTGTTCTGCACATGGGCACCCTGTGCCTTCCCACGTGCAGAAAACCTGCTGACAGTCACGAAGCTCACACCTAGGCCCCAATTCTTGTGCCCAAGCTAGGTCCTCCCGTTTATTACCACCCCCTCTGCCGTTGGGCTTTTGGTGCAGGGACATAGGAGAAAAAACGAGAAGGCATATTTTCACAGCCACTAATATTTTGTGCATTGTTTGTTTTACCAATGTTGTAAATTAGCTATACTGATTTAACTGGAGGTAAAATTAATTTACCTTTCTCTAAACACTGACCCGAGTAGACAATCCCCAATCCCCGCCGCCCAGTGAATAACACAGTGAATACATGAATGCGAGGGATTTTCTGGAGTCAACGTGTTCTCAGGACTTTTGCTGTTAGTGACTCTATTCCTCCCCATGGTGACCCAAGTTAGTTGGAAATCTAGTCCAGTCCTCAGCCGGGCCACTTGGTCACGAGTCCCTGAGTCAGTTCTTCCCAGTTCATTCACAGCACTGTGTTCTTCCGGGGGCTTAAGAACAAAATTCAATCAAAGCTTCTCATGCCAGGCCTCTCTCCACAAGCTTTGCTGACATTGTATTGCCTCTTGTGCTCACGTATCATCAGGTGTTAGAGACTGGGCAGGGGAATAATGGCATTTCATATGGTTGTAGATACGTCTGCGATTACACCTACTACCTGTCGCTGCATCATGGAAATGGGCGGGCAGTGCTCATCCATGTCCCACCATTATCACCGTGGCTCCGGGCCAGCCTGTTGGGAAAAGCCTTACAAGCCCTTGTGCGGGAGATGCTGGAGGAGATGGGGGAAGCCCGAGCTAGAAGACTGGTTTGTGGTGCTTCGAGCCAAGGGGAACCACTTGGGGCTCAGATCCTTTAGAGAAAATGAAATGTTTCAATCCTGTAAGGAGAGTTCAACTATGTTTTGAGAGGCTTTTAAAAACTTGCTTGTAAAACAGTTTACACAGAAGAAAAAATTCTGAATTAGCCCTAAGGAAATCACAAAGGGTTATTTTATTGTCAGAAGAAAGAACACTCTGAAAGGCAGACATTTCACAGGGGATTAACTAGCTTCAGTTATGGTTTTCATAACAATAAAATGAAATCCTAGTAATTTTTTTTACTCTTAAAACACTATACAGTGAGCCTGTGTGATCCTGCCTGGACTGCGGGGCTCACAGACCAGTTCTGAAGGGCCTCACATGGTGAGTTCATCCACAGCCTGCTGGTCATGGGGAAGCAAAGGTGTCGCCACCCCTTGACATACCTCATTTTTGGCCTCGGAGCTCATGCATGCATCTGAGTTCCCTGGGCAGCTTCTGACCGGTGAGTATCTAGTGTTTAAGCCAAAAGTGCTAAAACAAAAGTTCGTAGCTAGACTTAGCTTCTCTGCTGCATTATTTTCCCTAACTTCTGAAATATCAAAACTCACTCTTTAGATCTTTCATCTTACCCCACCAACATTGCACAGGGTTCTTGTGCTAAACTGCTCACAGCAATGTTTTTTTTTTTATCTTTTTACTGTGAATGGAGTGAACGTTTACAGAGCAAATTGGTCTTCCATTCAATTATCCATACATGTTTCCTTTCATGGCTGCTGTGTCCCAAAGACTTTGGTGTTATGTTTCCATTCTCATTTGACTCAAGGAATTTTTAAATTTCATTTTTTTTCTTCTGTTACCCAGTCATTTTCAAGGAATGTGTTATTCAGTTTCCTTGTGTTTGCTCTTTTTCTGTTGATCTTCCTATTGTCGATTCCTAATTTTATGGCATTGTGATCTGAGAAGATGCTTTGCAGTATTTCAGTGTTTTTAAATTTATTAAGGCTTGCTTTGTGGCCTAATATATGGTCTAGCCTGGAGAATGTTCCATGTGCACTGGGAAAGAATGTATATTATGCAGTTGTTGGGTGAAGTGCTCTGCAGATGTCTATAAGGTCAAGTGGGTGGATTGTATTACTTAGTTCTTCTGTGTCTTTTTGAGTTGCTTCCAGTTGCTCTATCTTTGATTGAAAGTTGTGTATTAAAGTCTCTTACTATGACTGTGGAGTCATCTATTTGTCTTTTTCAATTCTGTTCAAGTCTGATTTATGTATTTTAGGGCTCTTTCATTGGGTGCATAGACGTTTATTATGGTTATATCCTCTTCTTCAATCGATCCTTTAATCATTATATAATGTTGTTCCTTGTCTCTTATGGTGCTTTTTGTCTTCCAGTCAATTTGATCAGAGATTAATATTGCCACTCCTGCTCTTTCATGGTTGCGATTTGCTTGATATATCTCTTTCCAACCTTTGATTCCTAGTCTGTTTGTTTCTTTGTCTCTAATGTATGTCTCTTATAGACAGCATATTGAGGGGTCATGTTTTCTTATCCATTCTGCAACTCTCCTTCTCTTGAGTGGTGCATTTAATCCATTGACATTCAGTATAATTATTGACAAATATGAATTTGTTGCTGTCATTTTGTTATGTGTTTTTTCGTAGTGTTACTGATTTCTTTGTTCCATATAATTTTCTGTGCTGAGCTCGTTATATGAGTAGTGTTATCACTTCCTTCATTGTATTGTTTTAGTATTTGCTCAATATTTGTGCTTGTGTTCTTCTTTATTTTGATGTGAAATGTTATCATTTTTCTTTGAGGTTACCCTGTAATTTACAATTTTTTTCCCAAGTTTAGAACAGTCCGTTCTATCTTGCAATTGTCTTGACTTCCTCACCATTAGAAGTTCTGTAACTACACAGTTTTTCTCTCTTTGGTTTGTTGTTCTCATTTGCCAATTGATGTCTCTGGTTCCCTGTTTGCAATGTTGTAGGCTTATTTATTTGTATACTTCCATAATTGGTTTGGTTTCTGGGTTATGTCATCATGTGTGTTAATGATCAGTCATTGTTTGCTGTTGTTGGTTCTCTGTCCAAAGGACTCCCTTTAGTGTCTCTTGTAAGCTTTGTCTGATGTTAACAAATTCTCTTAATTTCTGCTGATCTGGAAATGTCCTAATTTCACCATTGTATTTGAAGGACAATCTGCTGGATATGTCTTGGTTGGAAATTTTTTTTTCTTTCAGGGTTTTATATATATCATCCCATTGCCTTCTCACTTGTGTGGTTTCTGCCAAGAAATCAGAGCTTAGTCTTATTGGTTGCCCTCTGTAGGTAACTTTTTGTTTTTCTTGTGCTGCTTTCAGGATTCTTTCTTTGTTTTTGGTTTTGGTGAGTTTGATGATGACATGTGTTGGTGATTTTCTTTTGACGTCTATCCCATTTGAGGTTTGTTGGACTTCTTGAATGGATAAATTCTCTTTCAACATACCAGGGAAATTCTCTTCCAACAAATCTTTGACAATTTTCTCTGAGGTTTTATTTGTGCTGGAATTCCGATTACACATAGGTTGTTCCTTTTGATGGTATCCCACATAAACCTTAGGTTTTCTTCATTTTGTTTTGATCTTTCTTCTGATTGATCCCTTTCCAAGAAGCATCCAGGTATTTGTCTTCAATCTCACTAATTCTGTCTTCTATTGATTCACTTCTACTCCTTTGGCCATTCAATGTGCTATCTTTTTCTGAGAATTTAATGTTAATCTCTGGATTTCTATTTGTAAATTTTGTATCATTTCTAATTTATTTTGTCATTTTGTTCTTGTATTGTCTTCTGAAATTGTTCTATGGTTTTCTCTGTGTTTTCCTCAGTTTTGTCAGTGTTTTTCTTGATCTGTCTCTCAATCTGTTGATGGTACCTAATAAAATTCTTTTGAATTCCTTCTCAGGGAGTTCCAATGCTGCTTCTTCCTCAGGGATGTGTTCTGGGTCTGTATCTTGGTTCTTTGTTTCTACTGCTTTATCTTGCTTCTTTGTGTGGACTGTGATGGTCTGTTGTCTCCACAACATTGTGACATTTTTGTGTTTATATTTAATTGGTGATTGTATGTTAGAGTGATTCACCCAAGATTTTTGTTCTTTGTTTTGTTTGGATGTATCTGAGTAAGTTGGGTACTGTGCTCCTCTAGTCACTAGTTGGCAGCACTTATGCGCTCACCACCTGTCTCCTTTCCAGTTGTCAGCCTCCCGTATGTCCATGTTGTCTTTGGCAAGTGAAGTCTATTCTTAGGTCCCTGGAATCCAAATGAGAATGCTGTCATTTATATATCCAAACTGGCCACTGCTTGTAAACATTCAAAATAGCTGCACCCTCCAGACAGCCAAAAGTCCACAGCTGAGTTTGTCTCCTTCTTTGCTGTTTCCCTTTTTAGTCATTAGCCCCCGGTGCAGTTTTCCATGCAGTCCTTGGTGAGCAGGGTCTATTTTTAGGTTAATTCTCAAGTCCTAACACTACTTGGAAATGTTCAGGTTGTCCATGCCATCGGGATACCTGACAGTCTAGCTCCATTTGTCTCCTTACTCACTGTTTTCATTCAGACTCTTCTACTAGTTGGTGTTTAATCTACTTCAATATCCTTCCTTTCAAAACTTAAGGCTCCAGGATTATCTTCTGTATCTGTGTCAATTGGTTTCTTTTTTCTTTGTTGAAAAGGGCCTGTATAGCTTGTCTGCCTATTCTGCCATCTTACTAGAAGTATCCAAGCCTAACCTTTTTTATTATTTTGAGTTTTGTTCCATGTTTTTTTCCACTCTATCCTGGATCTCCTATTGTGATCCACTTCAGAGTAGATGGTAGTAGTAGCCAGGCACCATCTAGTTCTTCTGGTCTCACGGTTGTGGAGGTTCGGGTTCACATGGTCCACCAGTCCCTTGGACTAATTATTACCAGGCATCTTTGATTTTCTTTACTTGTCTTTGTTCTGGAGAAGGAGAGGGCAATAGTTGCACCTTAGATGACTGCTTGAAAGCTTTTAAGACTCCAGTTGCTATTCACCAAAGTAAGATGTAGAACATTGTTTTTGTAGACTATGTTATGCCAATTGACCTTCATGTCCCCATGACTATAGTCTCAAGCCTCCAGGGCCACCAACTCATTCCCTCAAGGTTGTGGTTATGGCTAAGAAGTTGTCATAACTTTGCACCTGTTTGCTTTATTTTATGCATGGATATTTTTACAGCACATACAAATATGTATGTGGAAATATTGTCTGTCAAGCCTATATTGTTGTGGGTATAGTCCCACTTACCTACACATACCCTGATCATCTTAGTTCTGTACTTATGTATCAACTTGCAGATAATTGTTTATTATTACTGATAAATGCAGGATTGTGTGTGTGATAGTATTTACCTTTGTTGTCTGTAACACTTATACACCTCTCCATGTCTTCCTCTTCCTTAGAGATACTATGCTGCTCACCCACTTTTTGTATATTGCCTTTTCCTTCATCCAAATTAATATGTCTCTCACCTAGTTAATCATTTTCCCTTCCCTCCCCACCCACTCCAGATAGCCATCAAAGAATGTTTCTTTCCAATTATAAGCATTTCCTTGACTTTTTTTAGTACTGGACTCATACAGTATCTGTCCTTTTGTGACTGACTAATTTCACTCAGCATAATGTCCTCCCAGTTCACCCACATTATGAGGCATTACATGGATTCTTTGTTACTCTTTAATGTTGCATGGTATTCCATTGTGTATGTACCATAGTTTAGTTATCCATTCATCCATTGATGAACACTGGTTGTTTCCATCTCTTGCTATTGTGAATAGTGCTGCAGTGAACATGGGTGTGCATATATTTATTCATGTCCTGGTTCTCATTTCTTTAGGATGTATACCTAGTAATGAGATTGCTGGATCAATAGTATTTCTGTTTCCAACCTTTTAAGGATGTGCCAAACCATTTTCTACAGTGGTTGCACCATTTTACAGCTCCACTAGTAGTGTATGAGAGTTCCAATCTTGCCACACCCTTGCCAGCATTTGTTGTTTT